ACCGAGTTAGACAGTGGACTGGCGCTTGACAGAGGGAAGGGAGAGACTTATTTTCGACACTCAGCGTGCATTCCGCAATATAAGCAATCTGACGGACTTTTTAGCCATCATGGTATGCAAAGTTGTGGCTTAGAAGGTTTTCAACTGAAGAAAGAACTTGCTTCAGAGAATTAAGTCGCTCTGGTTCTATTTGCTTGGCATTTCCAATAAGCTGAGATCCAGCCGACAACTTCTTGTTTCTGTGAAAACTTGGTGCATTGCGCAGTAATCAAGCGTGTGTGGCATGCATGGACGGAGTTTTGGGCTTTGTCAGCCACTACATTCAACCCCTCCCCCCACCACCTCTGTTCTTGAATCTGTCTTGACATAAGGCCCAAATTGGTGAGGATGAAGACTGTAGTATATGCTGCGCAACTCTACTATCGTTATACACTAATTCACGCGCAAGTTGCTTTCCCGGACACACCAGGCTGTAGGATACGGTAAGCATCGCCGTCCGCCACGGTCGAACTGACGTCAAAAGTCGCATAATTCGTTCTTATCCGAGCGCCGTGGTACAGGCTAAGGCACTGCAGACAGACGGTTATGAAAACTTCTGCGGCAATGCCGGAATATTTCTTACACAGCATTACACTAGTCTGTAGGTACTGTCTTGATTTCTCAAAATACGGCTTCTATTTTTATGAGCACGGTCTTTGGCAGAGGACTGTATAATCCATCGACTATTGCTTTCGAACAGCAATTGTACAGTTCCGTCGCCTCTTAATGATGCATGACGTATGCAGAACTTTTAGATTTGGATTTTTTAAACAGCTTTTTAAATGAAATATTTGTTGTTAAAATAAAGCGCCGTCAGACAAAACACGAAAAGCAAACGACAGTCGAATTTGGAAAACTTCTACTGGCATTGAAAGAAAGGGATACATATCGATAACTCACCCGTAATTATGTCCAGGATTTGGCCAAACTGGACAAAAACGGCATATAGCGATTTTTTTAGATCATCAAGTTTGATCTTTTCATTCAGATTGTTAATGTAGATGGTATTGTTCGGAGGCAAATTGGGGATCGCCGTATGAAGGGCTTGGGCAGCGGGTGGAATGGCGTGGGCTACGCCAGGAAGCATGGTTGGAGGGATGGCTCCAAGGCTCATTGGTTTCTGCTTGAAATTAACAGAAAATAGTGTCAACTAATGTGAGGGTGGCAAAATAGATGCTAGGAAGAGGTTCTGGTACTGGCTAAAAACAACATTGTCCCCTAAATAAAAAGGCGCAGAGAGGACATTAGCCAAAGTGTCGGCTCGACGTCTAGCCTAAACAAGCAGCCGCAAAATTTTTTAGTACTGATTCCATTCTGTGTTATTAAAAAGACGAAATTTTAGCAATTGCCATGTCAGATACAAATTTTGATACAGAGTTTGAAAAAAATTGCCCTCGTGGTGGGTGAAACCGTCGGACACCAGTAACGACACTCCTGTAATGTATAGAATGGATATTACTCAATTGGGCATAACACTACACAGGTGAGAAAAAACGAAACAGCCTATTCGAAGAGTAGGGGAATCTCAACGAAAACGAAAATCGGGGGGACTTTAATCGTAATATCGTTGTCTATCGTTCGTCGTCCATGATTCTCGATTTGACTGAATAGGTC